CCTGCTGAAACCCAGCTCACACCATCCAGATAGCTGCTGGAATAACCTCAGCTGTCACCGCTCCTGCAACCAGCTTCCCATGTAGCAGGAAGTCTTTCTCAAATTTGCCGCAAAACCGTATCACCACACTGAATATAATCCACTTAAAAATATTAAACAAAATGACTGCCAACAAAAGATGAGGTAATTTTTCAAGAAACCTCAGTGCAGCTTCTCCGAGCTGCGTGACGGTTGTTTCACAGAGGTCAGGTTGCTTTTGCAGGACCAAAGTATTGTACGAGGCTCTTGAGACACCACTCCCAGAAAGGCAAACTGCTTGCAGAGCTCTGTGCACACACAAAAGGAGCCACATTGTGAAGATTTAGGCCATGATAAAAGCATAGCTAAAATAATGCAGAAATAAAGATGCTTGTACTCAAGGTAGTTTGAGTCTCAAGAGAAAACTGGGCCTCAGAGTATTGTTTATAGCATCGAGTCACAACAGGATCTTCTCGCTGAAAACTGAGCAGAAGGCATGAAGCAAATTACTGGGGTTGAACTGGGGCCAACACATAGCGATCATGGGAAGTGCCAAGACTGACGCATTACTAAGGTCTCTGGGCAAGGAATCAATCACGTTCCACCTCAGGTCCTTGGTGCTTCTTCCCCTCCCTTCGCTCAGGGGGCTGTTGGAAAGGTCGGTGTTTCCATGAACGCACTTCATAACTGCAGGACCAAAAATCCTGAATTCGTAGCCCAAGGGAGTTTCTCATGCTCTCTGGAAAAGGTCAGCCAGAGCTTGAGGCTTGGGCTAGGGCTTGCTTCTCCACCTCGGAGTGCATGCAGATACCACCCAGCCACCTCGAAGGTATATTCAAAACTAGTGGCAAAGCTTGCTCCTCCCTGCAGCAACTCTGGTTTACCCGTGAGAGCCTTCACCATGCCACACTACGGAGCACAGGCTGCAGCACATACCTTAACTCTTCATCTAGGGAACGTAAGCTGCTTAGATACCACAACCACGGACACCTCAACAAACAAGCAGCTTCTACGAGTTTGATTTTCTCATCCTTTCTGAAAACATGCATACAAGAACTCATGAGGGAAACTTCCAGCCACACCTTTTAGGCATCATGACAAAATTTGTCCTCGCTTACAGGACAGTAGCCACCTACTAGGCCAGAAGAGTGATTAAATGTCAACTGAAAGGGAAAAAGGACATGTCTTGATGCAGAACCAGGAAAGCACTCTAACTTTTTTAGGGGTCTTCCAAGCACAGCACCTGATGCTACCATGACAATGGCAAGGACTTCTCTGTTGCAGGGGTGGCAGACCATCTGCGTTAGTCCTAAGAAGTTTCACCGTGAACACAGTGAGTCTGGATGAGATTAGCTGTGCTTGCCAGGTATGCAACTCCTCCTTTTTTGGATATGAAAACATGGGTTCAAGTCATGCAAGTGACCAACACGTACTGCAAATTTTATCTTTATTTCTTTATTACAGAAACTAAATTAGCATATGCCTACATCTTGATTAAAACAAATTCACCACCGCAGGAAAAAAGCGTTCTTTTTATTCTCTAAAGCACACCTGTGAACACAGAACAAAGTCTAATGTCAGTACATAAAAGCTTCTTCTTAGTGCACCTCTTCATTGCAGTTTCTCCATTAGTTCTTTTTAAAAAAAATCATTACACCTTAGGTATTTATATACGCTTGCATTAAGCTTTGCATAATCTACCCATAACGCAATTCACTTCTAGAAGTCAGTTAAGAAGCTAAATCAAAAAGGCCCCTTAAGTTTGCTTTATTTACAGTTGCAATGGCTAAATTTTAAATACTTTACAGTCACTCCCAGTACTGGCTCCCAATTCAAAGGATTAGTGCATTCCAGGATTTCTTTATCACTATTTTCTGGAGGGGATTAAGTTGTCCATACCTACAGCTATGTAGGTACTTCAGCTATCTACATAAAGTACCTTATAGGAAATAAACATGCTGACAAAAATATTTATAGTAATGAATGACAAATGAGAAAGTCAACCTTTAGGAAGAATGGACAGGCGTTTGGTTCTGTGCTGCAGTCACTGTGGGAACAGCAACGTGGGGGAAAGAGCAGTTAAGGAGCGCTGAAGTCCGGAGCAGGTCTCTCTTGGTTCCTTCGTAAAGAGAGCTGTATGTTCAGCTCTCATTTCCTCCTCTCTTTCACCACGTCTCCCCCGTTACTGCTTTTCTATTAAATCATCGGGCAAATTTCTGAACTGCGATAGTGTACAAGTTTACTTCAGAGGGGAAAAAATAACGATGCATCTGCGGACAGGCAGACTTGCGTTATCTGAATAAAGACAGATCTGTTCCTCTGAGTTTTATAGTTTATGAGTGGACCCAGGCCTTGTGGCAACTGAGAAACTGCTGTAAAGATTAACAAATGGGATGCACATGCATTTATCTGTTCTTACATACTTTTGAAACACAGATGGAAGGAAGAAGTACCTGTGATTCAGGTAGGTCGAGAAGTTGGTTTTGTTTTGTTTTGTTTTGTTTTCTTACACAATAAGGTAGATTACTTAGCACATTCCAGGTTAAAAAAAATTACAGTAAACATTCAGTAACTGGAATGCATATAATATACAAGTACCATTACATTTACAAAGCTGTTCAGGATGATTTTTCTTTCTAGAATAAGCATAAAAAAGCTACAAGCTAATTCACAATAACTTTAGATACAATGTTATTAAAATACATTGACGTTAATCATAAAAATATTTTACTATTTACATGTACATTGTATAAACCTCGACAATAAGAATATGCCCATTTTAGGATGCCTTAAATGAATATTTAGGCAGATTGGCCCATTTTATAGTGCAGTATCCCTGTTTTGGTCTTCACACCATGAAACTGTACCAGATTCACAGTATCTTTGCTAGTGCTTTGCTAAAAGGCTTAAACTTTCTATTATTTAAGAAACATTCATTACAAAGAGCCAGTTTTGTTTCCACTTTGTTTCTTATTAAATCCTACCCCCAATAGTTCAGGACACTCTGCCTGGCCTTGTGCGATTTGGTTGCATTTCCAAATAAGGCTATAATTCATTTCATCAGTTATCACGCTATCTTGCTTGTAGTCTGGATGCTGTGCGATAAATTCCCTCATCCATCGAGCAACTGTCATTAATTCTCCTGTGGGCAAGGGGAAGTCAAATTTCACAGTTTATACATCTAATTTAGCAGTATGACACCTAAAGTTCTATGCATTATATACACAATTAATGAATAGTCCGTGCTTTCATGAGAAACGCATTCCTATACGTATTTTGTTTAAATATGGCTAAACTGTAGGCATAATTAAGCTGACATATCGCTGATAGTCTAAAACCCACTCGTCTGGTGTGATCTTTAGACTTTCAGATGTTATAATGAGACAGTGCAGAGAGAAGCAGCTATTGGACCAGCTGTTACCAACAGATTGTATAGTAAGAGGTCTTAAATGACATTTAACAGAGAATCTGGCTGAGGTGAACCAATAGACACCTCTACAACAACTACATATATATAAAATAATTTTGTAGTTGATCCATCCACCTCAGCTGCTAGCTTTGCTGTCTACCTTGACTTACTATTCTTTCTCCCTCTGGCAGCTCCCCTAGCAAAAACCAGGCAGGTTCCCTATTATACCAGCTCCTGGTTTACACACACTGCCTCTGCTTCACTACGCAGGCCGTGGGGCAGCCAGCAGGTGCCTAAGGGTCCCCGACACTCCTACACAGGGTCATCAAATGGCACACACCTCTTGCAGGACACCTGCATCCCTGTAAGGCAGCAGCTGGAGACCAGCTGGACACCAGTGTTTAGGCTACTGAATCTTGCTCCTGAATGTAGCATATGCAAGCAAACCTTAACTAGTACAAGCGTAAGGCAACTCTGACAGGAAGACATTAAGGTAGGCTGATGGGATGCTCAAAGAGCCTCACAAAACTTCCATTATTAGCTACTGGAACCTCAGCTTCCTTGTAAGAGTGGAAAGAGTCAAGTGCTTCCACTACAGAAATCTTTGGGTTAAGAATATTATAAAAAGCAAGAAGAATCAAGTTAGGGAAAACAAGGAGGAACACACAAATAAAAAGTAAAAAGCATCCAAGACTCTTTAAAGATATCCTGTCAGTGGTTTTGAACAGAGGTACATCAACACAAATCAGAAAAATTGCGAAAAGTACAGGAAAGAAAAAGCAGAATAAAAAAGGTTATTAGAAATAAAAATGTCCCTCAAAAACCAGAAATCATGTTTTAAAGAAATAAGGCCAGAGTTGATGCTTCTGTATGAAAAGAGGGCAGGAAAAAAGTATCCAAGAAGCATTATTTGTTGAAGGCACTAAAAACTCACAAGAAAACCTTCTCAAACCAACGAGAAGCAGGGGGCCTGCAAGAAAACTGGTGGGGCTGGGAAATGAGCGGAGCGGAGCATAAAGAGGGATGCATTTTTGGACTAGAAGCTGCTGCAGGCCGTCAGTGCAGGAGATGGGAGAGCAGTCCTGCTTACACCAGCACAGACACCTAGTGGTCAGGCAGCCCAGTCACTCCCCATCCTTTGTACTGGTGTAAATCTGCAGCACCTTCATCGTGAACACCGCGTGCAGCTCTCAGAGAACATAGCAGTATTGGGAAAAGGCACCACAGACTGACAAAAGGCGTGAGAAAACTTCCAAGCGAGAAGAGACAAGACAAAGGGAATCACAAGTTCGGAAGCAACAATACACTTGAGAAGTTTGCAAAATTATGAATGTCGATGAGAAGTGAGTAGAGAAACATTATCCTACAATGCAGGAACTAGAAGGCATAGCATGAAGTGACTGGGAAGAGCATTTAAACATGCAAAACTACAGCAATTACATTTTTCAAAGACCATATAATAAAATCGTGGCATTTCTTACTGTATGACTTTACAAAGTCATACAGTAAGAAGGGGACCAAAAGTGTAACTGCTTCAAGAAGGGTAAGGGAACAATCATGGAAATCATGTTTGCGAATGGTTATCAAGCACCATGATTACTGCGCACCACCTTCGGCCAAGAAACCGCCTACACTGTGGACAGCCAGGAACCAGGAGAGCACGCCAGGACAAGGATCACTTGATGCGGCTATCGTAATACTGCTTTCATCAATATCTGGTGAATATATACCACCATCAAATTTTGCCTAGCAAATCTGTAGTCTCACTGAGTGGTGGCAGTCACGCACCAGCTAGACAGAGACCAGGAGGGCAAGACCCAGCTGTGCTGCAAGAGAAGATGCGAACGAAGCACAGATGAACTATGTCAGGGCAAGGTTAAAGCCACAGCAGCTAAGGTGCCAGTGTTTAACTCTCACAAGTGCTCTGTGTTCACCATTTGAGGAGAGAAATGTGAAAAATGGCCACTCTTTGTAGACATGTCTCATGCTGGACAGGCTGCCGTTCAGGAACATTTGCTTTAAGATTGAGAGTAAGCTGGAATAATCCAAACCTCACAATTGAGTAACATCATGGCACAGTAATACAATGCCTAATGCTTTTTATTCTGTGAATTCTGGTTCTTAAGAAGCATAATTTAAAAATAATTTCAGTTTATCAGAGTTAAGATATAAAGCTGAGACTCTATCTACCTCACTCTCACACCTTTTAGGTCTGTGTAAATACACGAGTTCACTTTTGCAATGCCTGCAACTTCGCACCAGGTAGCAAAATTGTTCTTTGGAAGGGGAACACCTGCTGCGGGGTGTCGAGCCCAGGCCAGTAGCTCTTGGGAAAAAACCTCTATAAGACTTAGGCATTCCTTGTTTTTTCAACAGCATTTTTCTGAAGGGAAAAAAACCAACAACAAACACTGGAATATTTTGAAAGCATTGCTATTTTGAGGGCTGATGTGCCTCAGACCTTTTTTTCCTGCCAGTTTCTCTTCTCTCCCTCAGTTAAGCCAAGCATCAAATCCCTGTCTATGTTACCTGAGGGACAGAAGCCTCCTACAAACAAGCAGCCTTAGGAAAGAACATTTACAGTGAAAGCTGTAATTAATTAAAACCTGTTACCATTCTGAAGTACTGCTAAAATGAATTACTGCTAAACTGAAAGTCCTGATTTTCACCTCAGCTTTAAAAAGGTCTTTACCTAGAAGCTTCTACAGCAATTTTAAAGAATTAAAAAGGAATGCAACACTTCAGCCTAAAATTGGGGAGGAAAAAAAAAAAGATGTCTTTACTTATGAGACTAAAATTAACTGTCTAGCTAAATTTACAACAAGGCAGGCATACAAAGGATTTGCACATAGAAAGGTATAAAGCTGCTGCAGACAGTGCTACGCACCCAGTTCTGAATTAAAGTTTAGCCTGCATCTTTTACTCATTATACTGCTGCATTTTGAAAAGAAGCATAAAGAGTCATTATACTGCCTGTCTTCAAAAACACTGCAGCATTGGGAAGACAGGGGAAGAGCCTGGTTTGCTCTGCCTTGAAGGAGTTCTGCTACTTACAGAAGGGCTTTCTTGTCAGGGAGCTAAAGACTAGGTCCCATGCTCTAGCATACCAGAATTTAAGACTTATGAATGCTTTGGAGCAGCACGCTTTGGAATCACACCAGTAACACCAGGCTATCAGACCCAGCCTCACATACTCGCAACACTCAAGTGACAGGCAAAGAGGATTAGTATATATACAAAGCGGACAATACACTGGCAAAAGCAGCAGTAAGTGGTGCTGAAAAGAGAAATCTTGGATTGGAGATACATTGCCCTCTAAGCTGTAATCGTAACTGTACCAGTTACTCCTAATTTAAGTTCTAAAATGGATCACGAAACATTTCTAATCAGAATTAGACAGGACCAGATTTAAGCCAGAGAACACACTGCAGTCCTTTGCTCCTATGACTCAACACTTAACCAGACAGCCACAGCTGCCACCAGTTTTACCCAACCGAAAACTAGAGAACAGCCCAAGCAGAAAAACGCCAGGAAAATCAACGTCCAAAAGTGTCAAACATACCAGATGCTCTCTTTTTTATTAGCTTCAGGTAGTTTAGGATGGTGCACCTTGTGTCCACATCCACTTCCATGTTTTCAAGATAGGAATTCAAAATTGGGATCAACCCAGGAAAGACTCCTTCCTGTGTAAGAGAACAGAGTCAGCATAAAACACGCTCGGTCTGGTTTCTGGGAGGGCAGAATGGAGGGGAAAGTTGTGTGTTCCAGGTAGAAGAGGCTATGACCTTCCCATTGATAATTGTATCAATGCTCATTAAGGTGTACTCTTCTGCGTCAGTGCCTGTCCCGTTCTGTGCAGAGCCACATCCATCCACAACGGCGTTTCCACCTTCATGGATGACAAAGGGAAAGGAAGAAACGGTTAGAAGGCAAGAGATGCACTAAACATCCACAACAGCGTTAATCAGATTGCTTGTTGTGATACCTTTGCAAATATCTTTTCTGAAGTAAAACATTCCCTGCCGGACAGCATCTCTTTTCTGGGCCACCTTCATGTTTTCATCCACCTGGCAAAAGAAGTATTTCAGAGATTTGTGACATTTTAGAAAATTAGGATTCTCCCAAACCCTCACGTTTTGGTCTCACTAGTTGAAACATCTACTATGTTTCTTATTATTTCATCACACAAGGCCAAGCTGTGGAAATAAGGTTTATCTCATTCTTCAGGGATCCCAAGCATAACCACAAAGAGATGACGTTCTATGAAATTAGGTCTCCAGCAGAAAAGGTAACGGTATTATGTTAGAACATGCTACGCTAATCTTCTAAGTTTGGAAGAAAACACATCAACAGCTGTGATTAGCAGGTTGCATTCCATCTGGCAGACTTCTTGCACATTTAGATGCAATTTAAATGAGTACAGAAGAAGAAAATTGCCATTTCCCTAGCCATAGTTTGCTGCTTTTATTAATAAAATCATTGAAGTCTTTAGAACAGTTATTACTGTATTAAACAAACTTCCAGAAACAGAATTCCAGTAACTTTGTATGGGAATCGTATCTATTCCATACCCAAACATCTGTTAGACAGTTAGATAAACTTAGACCGCTAGTAAAGAAGTTCTAAATTGCAGGCTTCTCAAAAAGTCTACAAACTACAAAGCACTGCTCACGCACTCTGCAGATGACATAAGCATTGCTCTGTCTTTCTGGACGGAAGATTTTTGTCCAAGTTCTTTGGTCGCTACGTTCTCAGGGAATTAAAATCACACAGCTTTTGGACATTAGTTTTACTGTATTGTCTTCCAAAGAAGGGATATGCTTTGCTGAATTCTTTGTTTGACCTTTAATTAAGGGCAATGCAAAATCTTCACTTACTTCTTACCTTTCAAAGCTTTGTTTTCAAAAATCTGTTTTCGTTCATTTTATATTATGAAACCTATTTACACAACAGGCTATTTTGAAAGTTTGAAAGAACTCCAGTCGTAGCTGATGGGCGTACAACCGCACTCTATCAGACAGCAAAGATTAGTGTGAGATTAGCCCCATAAGCCCATATTATTTTACTTGAAAGAGGCAGGCTTACCAATGGTTGTGCAATTCTGTGTTGCATTACCTGCCAAATTGCTTGGCAACCTCAAGGAATTTTATGCCCCCTCAGTCCCCCAACTCTGTTCAGGTTTTTTTAACACCTGATCTCTTTTTCAGTCTTAACTGGTATTCATCAGCTAAAAATTTTGCACTTTTGAGACATTCCAAATAACAATGTAATTATGCACTGTAAGTGCTAAATTGCCGCATTATTTATGAATTCTGAACTCCTTGACATCAGGAAGAGAATTTCTCCTTTTAGAAATCATACCAACTGTATCATATGATTACTATTAATTTACAACTTGAGTATTTTTCTCCATTTTAATTAAAAACACTAAGAAAAGCCACAGGATACTAATGCTATGCTGTAACCCATGCCGGCAGTCTTTTCTAGCATACAGTCTGTCAAAAGCCTTCTGCACTACAAGACCTTTTTTAAAGTTACCTGTAACATTGCAGGACTATCCATTTAAAGACATTTTCTGGTCAGGTGCCCCAGAAAGAAGCACTGCAAGGACAGTTTCACCCAAAACAGTTCAACAATTGTGAGGACAAGATTAAGGAAAAAGCACATTTTCCATGGCTGGTCTGTCTAAAAACAAGTCACAGTTGCGACCACAATCAGCAGTATTTGTTTTTATTCAAATACTGTGTAACACTAAGCATGCTGAACTCCTCCTTTCCCTCTCCATCAGATACGAACAAAATAGAGAATAGGCAGAGAGAGGCAATGAGACCTAGGCACCAGCCATTTAAAATAAATACCTGAAGTTTTTATTTTGACCTCCACAGGTTATTTTCCCCACATGTAAAATGGTGGAAACATGCCCTTTCCCAGTCTGAAAACAGTCTTGTGACAATGGTATTTCTCGACACTTCTGCAGTAGTCAGACACTGTTAGGCACTACAGAAATTCCCACAGTGTTTGTCTATAAACTTAATTCCATGAGACAGCAGTAAAATATTTGTTTAATACTGTAGAGTTGAAATTGATTCAAGTACTGGTATAGATGAGAACTGACTGAAAGATATAAATGACTGTTCCATAAGCGCACAAATATTAGTTCCTAGCTTGCAGAGGATAAAAGTTGGGCTTGATGCAAATACGTTGCATTTAGCTCTTAACAGATCGGATCTTTCACACCTACCTTGGACAAAGGAATGAGAAAATCCAGTTTATATGACAGAATCACTCTGGTTAGCAATACGACGAACACAACATATGCAGAGTTTTCAAAGTCTGTTAACTGGACCTAGACATGAAAGGATTATATTACTTTAGTGGGAACACACTCATGGAAGTAGATAAATATCTGTGCGAGTTTAAAACAGTTTGACTCAAACATTCATGTTGGTACTTGTATTCGCACACGCTCTACTAGCAGAGATGGCGATGCACGAGCTGGAATCATCAGCAGTGACTTCAAATGCACGATGCATGCACGCACTTCAAATTCAACCCTTTAATCCAATGCCAAAACACACTTGCGTTTCAAAAGACTATCTAATAACCTGCACCTTCAGGCTCTCTGTGTAATTACAAATGTATAATAGCTTTTAAATTTCCACTTTAAAGGGATTAAATTCAGAGAGCTCAGAAACAGACAGCTATAAAATAAAAGCACTTGTGAAAAACAAAACAATGACCGTGGAATTGTTCAGCACCAGGAAAAGTACTGGAGAAATACAGTCCCTAGAAGCTAAATGGGGCTTTGTTTACTGTTGCTTTCATACAAGCCTAATTCCTTTCCCCATCACCCCAAATCCATTAGCATGCTTTGCTGTGCTGCAGTGGATTCTCCTGTCAGTTACATTCCCACAGTCCATGTCTGATTAAACACTGCTGTCCACTTCACTTGCGTCTACCAATTCAGAGGGGAGAAAACACAGCATAAGTAATAAGGGTTTGATACTGGATGGCAGCATGCCTGGTACTTTTCCACTTAAAAGGAAACGTGCTTTTGTGCATACTGACGCCTTCCTTACCTCCATAGGTCTGAATTCCACTCTCCATCCAATATCTGAATTTGGAGGAGGTGGCTTAAACCTCATTGTCTGCCAGTTTGTAGACTGAATATTCTGCAAAGCACATGAAATAATCTGTCACAATCAAGATATATGTCATTCTATAATACAATCAAGGAAAAATAAGCAGATAACTAGAGTCCTAATGTTTTCCCTGGAACAGCCCATCAAGTTACAGAAGCGCTTCCAAACTAAGTAGCATGACTTCCTAAAAACCACAGTATAACTACCCATCCTAGGAACAAACACATTATTACACTTTCTTATGCTATTTTGTTTGAGGATTACATATAAGATACTAGGGGGCTGAGATTTAGCTGACATATTTGTTTTTATGAGGGGCTGATGCATCCCAAACTAAAACCACCTACTATTACCATAGCTATTATTTCATAAAGCTGTGTAAGAGAGACATTTATATATAAATGTCAGGCAAAACAGTTTTTAGGAAGCCATAAAAATAGACAGTTCCCTATAACACTTATATACATAGCTATAGTTTGGGCTCTTCATATTTTATTGGGTTTAAAAACTATAAGCCACCACCTTCTCCCAAATAAAAGATAAAGCAAATAAATAAATGTACTTATAACTGCAAAGTCATATGCTAAAGAACTAGTTGAATTGAAAAATACAGGGAAAAAAATTCTCAGCTAATATAGCCATCCTCCAATTAAGCAGTACTATAAAGAATAAGCAATTTTATGTATATATTTATTAAATTCCTCTAAATCAGACACAACCTCAAAATGGTCGGATTCATTTGCATCATCTAGATGTATTTTCTCCTCAAACAAAGTCAATGGGTCTCGAATGAACAAGTGTGCAATATGCTGTGCCAAAAGGTGGTCAATACCTACAAAACGAAAATTCAAACAAACAATTCACACATAGCAAAGCAGGCTCTAGGAAATTACTTGCTTTACAAGACTGAAAACATCCAACTCTGCAATGCCACCTCAACCCACCACATCCTGTTAAAGTTTAAATGACAACTTCGGGACGGAAGGAAATGATTAAAGAGAAGGGGAAAAAAAAATAAAAAAGAACAGGTTCTTGTTTGGAAACGGCAGCTGAATATTGGTGTGGCTGCCATTCTTCCTGTTTTCTGATGCATCTCTGTGCCATGTTTCCTAAAGCAGTTCTGCTCTCTCCACAAAGATAAAACATTAATGCGTCAAACGCTGAGCTTCTCAAGCTGGAATCAGGGACAGTTTCCGTTACAAACAAATACTTCTTAAAAAATTCTCAAGACCACGCTACACAGATACTTCCTGAGTAGGAGTCACTCTGAGGGATGCACAATGATTGAAACAAACAAGAATGAAAACATAAAATATCCCCACACACTGCAAGCATAATTCTTAACCTGCTCATAATGAAGCAAACACTTACCTTCCTTTATTAGGTGCTCGTAGATATCTTTGTCTATTGTCAAATCAATGTCATTGTATTTCTCACCACATTCAGATAGATAACTGTCTATGGAATCATATCTGGATTTACTGATTCTATAATGGTTGTTCTTCAGTGGCTATATAATTTAAGAATACAATATTTTAACAGCTTGTTAACAATGTTACCTAAGTTTTGCTCACTAATGACACTTATGTGAGAATTATTATCCTGTTTAAAAAGCCCTACAGCCTCAATTAAAACTATTCAAAGCACGAGTCTTAAATAGGCTTAATAGAAAGCGATCCTGGAATTATGTCTATTTTGTTGCAGATGTATGTATCAGTGAAAAAACAGTCATCACACATTGACTAGAATTCACTAAAAGTGGAAACATTTTCCTGATGTAACATACCATTACCCCAAGTACCTGGAAAGCATTATTATACCTATTGCAACACATACCGATACAGTTTCTCTATGCGCACATTGTTAGAGGTGCTCTTAAAATGGGTAGTTCAAGAAATATTTCAAGTAGAGTTTTTAAAAATTATTTATTTTCTATAGTTTTATAAGTGCCTTGAATACCAATTCCTGCTTAGAGAAACTCCTTAAGTTCAAGATCTGACAACTGGCTCTTTTCACATAGTTCTAGTTTATACTACTGGATTACCCAGCAGCACCTGCTATTTAATCCAAAGCAATTTTTGCTTTTTGGGCTCAGGCAGAAGACTGGAAAGTTTCATCACAGGAGGACCTTTTCAGCAAGCTGTGGAAGAATGAGTGGAGTTCTACTGAGATTCCATACCTAACTAAAAATATGTATTTGCTAACGTAAACTGTACAACCAAGGAGAATGTTTACCACAAAGACTGCCATGTTCCTTCGTTAGGGATTCTGATGAGCACAAGCAGAATTTGATACTAAAGGAGATTTGACTTTTTTGCCTGAAAAAAACCAGACATCTACTACCTAATGTTACTTACCTCTAGCCCCCTCTCTTCTCGCGTTCGATCATCTACAGATGCAGAGATTACCCCCCAGCGACAGTCAATATCAGACACGTAGCCTCTGTAAAATGGAGATGCAGCACTCAACGCCATCTGAAATAAAACAGCCTGATATGAAAACAAAGGACAAGCCAAGGAACCAAAAGCAAAATACAACCCCACTGGAAAGCGAAACTTGCTGGTCCAGAAGTAACTGAAGTATATACTTCAGTTTAACGTACAGCCAAAGCCCATACAACCACAAATCTCTCAACTGCTATCTCCAGAAAATGCCTAGATGAAGGGTTAGTATTACTGAAGTGGGATCTGACGCTCTCCAAATTTATTACCTCTACAGATCAGCATTTAAGGAACACAAAGATGATACAGGCAGAAGCAACTTCATGACAAATCAGCAAGTATTCTGCTCACGCACTTCCAAACTCCGAAAGTTCACCTGGGAATTGTTTTATTTTGTTTATATTTGTTTGGCCAAGCACCTTAGCAGCACAGCTGGAACATACCTCATTTGGAGCAGGATCTGCTCACCACCTAGACCAGACCAATAGTTTATTTTTATAACAGCTGTTATAAACACCTGTTTATGACCACATGCTTACAAAAGGGACAGATTTAGACAACTTAAGCTGAAACCCTCTGTAACACCAGACCAGAGTTGAAAAACTATAAACTGTTTTAAGGAGTGAGCTTGTCTTGTTTTCATGAAAAACAACCCCAAATGTATTTCTAGAACTATTCAACATGAGTCTCATGCATGTCGGAAGGAGGGCAAAAGAGAAGACACAGACATCATCTGTTTTGTGGTGTACTTTGAACATTAAATAAATCATACCGCTCATGTGACAACCTAGCGAGAGACTGACGCTTCTCCCAGAGTACCAAATTTGTGAGTAGCATTCAAGTTTTTTTTAATTGAGATTTTATTTTTGTACATGTAGTGGCTTTTGCACAGAGCCGATGTGATAGAAGTCCGTTACTTACCACAATGGGACAGATCGTGGCTAGCTGATCATAGAGATACCTTGCTTCAGAAATACTGCAAGCCTGGAATGTTACCTGTTGGAAAAAGTACAATTGCTATCACAATTTCTATAATCCTAGCGCAAGCAGAGTCTTCCTAGATTTAGAATCAATGATGTAATAAAACGACTTAAATACCAAGAATGTTAAGGGTTTTTTTTGTTTGGTTGGTTTTGTGGGGGTTTTTTTGTGTGGGATTGTTCCCTCCCAATTCTTGGACAAACTTTTGCCCCTTCTATCAGCAGCATTTCTATCACAAGCTTCTTGCCACACCATTTCCATGTTCATTAAAAGATTTCAGACCACAACACTTCAGCTGTGAGGCTAAATATACAAACACTTGCCAGAACCAAAGAAAACTGAGTTAACATCTACAATGCACATGGGCCAGTAATACACCTTCAGGAAATAAGCCAGGAACCTACTTACTTAAAACAACAGTCAAACTATTGTAGATGTAACATTTGTTTTATGTGACAGCTAATCCTGTTTTAAAGAACATTTCAAGCCACCTTTGTTTGATCCTGGAAAAATAAATACCTTCCTGTCTACTGTAACTTTTATTAAAAAAAAAAAAACAACAAACCACAAAGTCCAGTTTTGCCTGCGTTAGAGGTCAGGACACAGCAAAAGATGGAAAAGAAATGTTATCTGCAGAAGCCATTAATGACGTGGAAGCCCTACCACACATAGGACACTGGAAAATATAACTTCTTTGCAACTTTTGGTGAAATTTGCTCACAGCAGCATCAAACACGAGACACATTTCTAGTAGCAGACCTTACCCTCTAGACCTCCCGAACCGACACTTTATGCATTTTAAAAATGCAGAAGGGGATCAATCACTTCAAAACTGTTAAAAGACACTAAACAGATTAAAAGCTTCTCTCTCCTTCTTCACAGTTTACATATTCATAGATTAGAGGGTAACTTAGGTGGGAGCGTACCCTTGTACCACTATTATAACATTGTACAACAGGCTTCAGCTCTAAATTACCATCGCTGCTTGTTGCCCTGAAGAATGCCAGCCAAACACAGATTTTGCTCTTCCATAGATTACAATTAGAGAGTCCCACAAAACACACAGGTTCTTCTCTGTCTGCCACTGACGCCCAATCCAACCCTAAGTAAGCCTTAGAAAACCCAACCAAGCAAAAAAAAAAAAAAAACAAACAACAAGCTCCCGAGTTCACTGGTGGGCTCAGTGGTAAATTTTCTGGGGGGAGAGGGGTGTAGGAGGAATACAGCATTTGTTTGCATTTGTTTTGTTTGTCTTTTTATATCTGCAGCCAACATCATTAAAGCATCACAAGTTAGAAAAAGGGTGTTCAGTAGAGAAAATTTTTCTTCTGTGTCTATCCTTCAAGTAGCTATTAGGAAAAAACAAAACAAAACACAACACAACACACTTAGAAAAGACAAGATTATTTAATACTCTTGCAAAGAAGCAGCTAAGTATGATTTCTCATCACTAATTTTTGACTTCCAGCACTAGGGAGCCTGCCTTGGGGCAGGGAGGGGACAGGACACCTACACTCTTCCCTGACAATTGACACAGTGATATCTGCCTCTCCTTCCTTTTTATGTTTATTCCAAATCACATTAGATCTGGGATTCGACCCAGTTTCTAGCCAAACATGCCATTACAGAGGAAAAGGGCACGGCAGTCTTCTCCAGAGGAGGGCTGCAGGCACAGCAAGGACTGCGGAAAGCAGCAGCCATGAGCACAAGGCTGAGCAGGCATGGGGATGTGAAGCCTCAAAAGGGACAGGAGCGCAATGGTTCGCCTTGCCGTTCGCAGGGGCAGTGCTTCTCACCCCACCGCCGCTGCGGGATGTCCCAGCTGAGCTCGTCAGGACATTATTTTTAACCTTGGAAATATATCAAACCGAGTTGTAGCTTGGCGCATAGTGAGAAAAAAACGAAAGGAAGTATGCATACTGCAAACTACCTTACAGAAAATAGGTGGTGAATACATGTTTTCTTCTAGTTGGTTATCAAGAATTATTAGCTGATACACAAGCAGCTGCTTATAGTACCTGCCAGCCTTGTTTTCATTCTCCCTTTGATGATAACAAGGCTACCAAATTTGAATTTGACCACTGATTAAAAGAATGGGGAATACTAAAGTGGTATTCCTTAAAAGGGAATTTAATATATTTTTAACTAAGTTCATACAATGACTGAATGGTAAGGCTGTATTTCTTTTATTGGTCTTAAATAAGAAAGAGATGGTACAAAATAGACCATATGAAACTTAACACCTTGTAAAACCACACAGCATTATGTACACTTTACTACTTCATCAGATTCTCCCTAGCTTACCCTCAGTGACAAGAAATCATACTTAGCTGCTGCCAAGAACATTTTATTTATTCAGCTTTTGTAGTTCCTCAGTCTCAAAGGGATGTGCTTTGAATGGAGTTATTTCTGCCACTGCTGTGAAACAAGAAGAGCTAGGAGAATTTTCTTTAATCCCCTACAGACTTAACACTAGCCTTGTCCTAGCTCTGCTTCCAAGACGGCGGTGGCAACAGGCAGATTTTATCAACAGTCAAATACATCATACTACCTAAGGCATCAGCCCCTATCATCAGGTTACTATGATAGAGAAACATTTAAAACAAACAAATATTGAAAGGATTAAAGCACTCCCAAGACACAGCACCTGAATTTAAACAGAGAATATTGTAAAACAGTAGTAATTCAGGCAAATGAATGAAAACTTTATTGCTTTTGTTTTGCCCATGTAAGTGGGCATGCATTAATAGGAGGAAACAGAACCAAGAATGTCTCCCAGCACACAGTAACAGAAGACAGCTACCCATGTGGATTTGGTAGGTTCATGGTACAAGCAGTGAGAAGACGACACCTTAGCAGATAGCTAAAAATATTTAAGAATGAGAAATTTTATACAGGAGTTCATGCTGTTTGTAAATAAAATAAAATTACACAGAAGGAGAAAGCTACTTATTTTTAAAGATATTCCAATGACTTTTTGTCACTCCCTGCTTTTGCTGTTCTAAGAATGGGGAAGAGGGGAAAAAACCCAAAATGAATAGCCAAAAAACCCCACACATTCCTACAAGACAGCTCAGTTTCCATTCCCACAGCGTCTCTTGGCCGTGCCTGAAAGAAGGCCACAGTGGAAGATGATCTTTCACACTTGAAAAGTGCTGAACTTCCAGGACCAGGTGCTTGATTGAATGGGGTTTAACCAGTTCAAGAACCCTTTCAGCAAGGCATTCAATTACGTTTGAATATTAGCAGAAAATAAACATGACAGAAACAAACAAACCTGGATTTTAAGAGTAGATTACCAGGTATAAGATTAAATTTGTTGTTTTCTTCCCCCTACTGCCACTCTGAAAATGCATCAGTTGAATTAAGCGAGAGAAATTAGACATAAGGCAAGTCTTAAAAAGGTAAGCATTTAGGGAAGACAACATTCAGTAACATCCTGAAAGTAGATGTATTTTACCTGAAGGCAACAGTTTCCCATTCCAAAACCCATAGCATCCATGTATATATAGTCTGGCTTAGCCGCCTTTGCTGCTTCTCCATCATCATTAGGAAACGTTTCGATAAATGGTGATGGCGTGCTCTTATCTTTAAATACTGTGCGGAAAATGGAGGTACTCAGTAACCCAGAGCATTAGATTGAACAATTATTTTGAAAAAGAAAAAAGATAGGTTGAATTTACTCACTTGGTACATTTATCACAACCTTCTCTCCTCTTCGGTGCCGAATGTTTCTGGTCAGCGTACTACAACAAAAAAAAAGTTTGCTGAAATATCTGAAAGTTTCTCTTTATGCAAATGCAGTTAGTCTCTCAGCAATTCTCAGGGTTTCAGAATGTCAACCTTCTATATTTCTTCTGAGCATTTCCCCTCAGGACACTTCTTTTCCTAGTTTAAGATAGTCTATAACAGATACTACGCTGAATTTTTCTTCAGTAAAGTCAGTCTTATTTTGTCGAACTTGACAGTACTATGCTGATGGAATAGGCAGAAGTAAGAGGCTACTGACCTGAAGAATACAAGGGCAAGTGAAAAGGTATGCTTATTTTTTAAATAGAATGGTTTTCATTCTCTGAAGTCTCACCTTACGATTAAAACCCTTCTCAGACTATACAAGTAGTTTGACACCATGCTCCATTTCAGAGTAACTAGGGCAAGTTACTGAGTACACTGAGATGTTGCTGTGACACACCTGAGCGAGAGCTGGATTAACTGTGATGGAAGCAGTTAGCCGTGGGATTTCAAACTGGAAACAATTTTGCAGTAGCATAATCAACACCTCTTCCCTCGTAATGGCATGAACTACTACATAGTTACTTGAACTTAACAGTTTACTTTAAGTCACGTTGACAGAAAATACATGTCATCACAACCATCTCTGTGATACCGCCAACAACTAGCTACATAGCTCTCTCTATTCCAGTAATGTAAAGAAGTTGCAGCCATGCCTATGATATTTAGGCACAGAAAAACATTCAGCTTCTCATTCACACTCCCCAAATGCTCTTACCTAAATCTAGGATGTTTATTGATGGCTTCATCTGGAAAAAAGAGGGATTTTGAAGCTCCTCCTTCTACTGGCGTTGGCTTATATTCCGGCAGTGTAAACCCAGGACACCCTAACCTATGTAACACAACAATGAGATCCAAGCTGTAATGAAAACAGACTGTGATTTTGAAACGGTCAGATGATCAGCGATTAGGATTCTAGTAGACAAAGGAATAAAAAGAGATTTTTCTAAAACTTGCATCTACCACGAGTATTTCTGAAGCGCTTTTCAAGACTGCTACCTATGCATGTGGTATTGCCAGTAAGACGCCTTAAAACAGTTGCCGTTAAAAGGTCAGCGCTTGCCAACAACCAGCTTCTGTGGTGATTAAAACAGACCCCTTTTTTATAAAAAAACAAAAACAAAAAACCCCCCACTACTCTATCATTAGACAGTAAACATAGACCTTTTCAGTGGCTGAAGCAGGAAACTTCACAGTATTATGCAGAGTACAGGCACATTTTAGTGAGTTAGCACCTGTCATTAACACTGACATGCAGCTGCATTCTGTGCCTTTGAGAGTTTCTCTAGGGGGTACAGGTTAATGTTGACTGCTGAAGTAATTTATCCAGCTCTGCTCCCAACAATCTCCCCCGTTAAAAAAATGTACCGAACCAACTCTCTAAGAATTAGAGGTAGTGTCAAGTGATACACACATCCCAAGTCTCACAGCAGTTTGTAATTTAGAACTCTGAAAAAACCCATGAGAGAAATGTAATAAGCAAAGAAAAATTACAGCTATTAGGCGTAAAATGCTGAGAGATATGCAAGTATATCAGAATACAACCCTCCCCTTTGGAAGCTCCATTGTAAGCTTAAGAGTCGTCTGAAACAAGAATAAGTAGGTTTTCAGTACAACTGAGACAAAGGAGCATTTGAGAAGCTGAAGGTAAAGTTGCAGAAGATTAATTTCTCCATGCTGCACAGTATAAAAGCCAAAGATTGTGCTATCTTGAGAGGCTCTACTATTTGGATGTATAAAAAAAGGGTTAGCTGATACAACTACAAGCAAACTACTCAAAATACCAGGAAACACTCACATTTCTGGAAATATTATTTATGCTCAACACGTATTTCACTATTGGTTTCTTCTTCCTGGTTTAAGTATACCAGTTGTCCTACAGCATCTAAACCCAACTTCATAGAATCATAGAATCGTTAAGGTTGGAAAAGACCCTTAAGATCATCGAGTCCAACCGTTAATCAAGCACTGCCAAGTCCACCACTAAACCATGGCCCCAAGCACCATGTCTACCCATCTTTTAAATACCTCCAGGGATGGAGACTCAACCACTTCCCTGGGCAGCCTGGTCCAACGCCTGACTACCCTTTCAGTGAAGAAGTTTTTCCTAATATCCAACCTAACCCTCCCCTGGCGTAGCTTGAGGCCGTTTCCTCTCATCCTATCCCTTGTTACTAGGGAGAAGAGACCGACCCCAACCTCACTACAACCTCCTTTCAGGTAGTTGTAGAGAGCAATAAGGTCTCCCCTCAGCCTCCTCTATTCCAGACTAAACAACCCCAGCTCCCTCAGCCACTCCTCATAAGACTTGTGCTCTAGACCCTTCACCAGCTTCGTTGCCCTTCTTTGGACACGCTCCAGCACCTCAATGTCCTTCTTGTAGTGAGGGGCCCAAAACTGAACACAGTACTCGAGGTGCGGCCTCACCAGTGCCGAGTACAGGGGCAC